CGTAAAGTGAAGGGTGTTGTGGTCGTTAATATGACTACACAATAAATAAGCATAAAAGTGCTCACAAGTATTTTTGAAAAATTTGTGGGAAAATGTTGTGCATACAAATATGTATAATTACAAACGCATTTTACTTTGGGGGGGGGGGAGGGGGATGTGAACCCGACAGAGTGGAGTGAATGTCGGTGTAAATATGCAGTACTGCACACAGGAGACCATGAGTAAAATTGTGAGTTTAGCTGAGACCGGAAAATGTCGGTCAGCGAGTTCTGCTTGAAATAAATTTGAACGTCCCCAGAATGCCAAGCTGTTGAGCCTATCTGCTGATACCTGCCTTGGCACAGAGCCACACGCGACTGTTTCCAGAGAAGACTCCAGAAAATCTGTTATGCAACTGCGACTGAAAATGTCGCCTGCAAACAAAACCCTCCCTTTTTCACCAATTCGGCTGATGAGTGCTCTCGTCAAGAACTTTCTCAGAATAACCTGCCCTAAATATTAAGTCTACCATCCAAGAACTTTAGATCCAGTTGAACCTCTCTAATGAGTCAAATGGACAAAAAAAAAGCCCTTTGACCTGCTGCGGATGAGCTTTAAAATTAAGCAAGCTATTATTTTTTGTTGGAAAAACAGTGGAATAATAAAAAGAAGGTACTTGCATAATTGATGATCTTATGGGTCTCTAACTTCTGGATAAAAGAGTTACAAGATGCTGTTGAACTTTGAAGAAAGTATAAATTTGCCCAATTCATCTCTCACATTCTTCTGAAAATTACAATTATTAGTTGAATTTGCATGCTGCTCTTCTCTTTCCTGGGTACCCAGGATAGCCCAAAGCTTCAAGAAATTGAAGTTGTGCAGATGTTTGTGGGGATAATAAGCTTTTGAGTTTTCAAAAATACTTGTGTGCACTTGTTATGCTTATTTATTGGAAGGGAGATATCTTGAGCTCCTTTTAAATCACTTAAGTTGGGGCAATCCAGGCTCTTATACATGGCAGTCAACCCTCTATGTCAAACTGATTAGGGACCAGAAAGAATTGACCATTGAGGAGTTTTAGTCAGGGATACCTGGTTTATTCTAGAAAAATATTTAAATATTTACATGAAAGTTGATTAATCGTTGATCTTTTGGGAATATTGGGATGACTCACTGTTGGCTAATTAAGTATGGATTTATACTGAACTTGAAAAAAAGTACAGTTGCCCCAACTAGTCCCTCACTTCCTTTAAAAAAGTATCTACTGTACAGTACAGTAGTTAGATTTTTTTCTCTTCCATCATATAGTCACTGAAATACTGTAGCATAGAGACAAGGATTTCAAACAGTACCACGCAGAAAATTGATGTACAGAGGTATTTGAGTTAGGTTGGTTCACATTACAAAGGCTCAATGACTAGAATATTCAGACAAGTAGAAGGACCCAAGAAAATTGGGAAGACCAACTGTATGGCTCATGTGGATTTTATAATTCATTGAAGAGACAGCATGCCTCTGTGTTGCTAAAAAAAGGATCATATTAATACAGTATTTTGAAAGCATTTTTCATATGACACCTTATTGCAGTAATAATAACTGGCCCATGGTAAAATTAATTTCTTTACACGTCTACATACCCATAAAAAAAAATGTAGTCGCTCAGAGCTTTGGAATTCTGGGTAACCAGGTTTTTGTTTCCACTCAGAACAAAAGTCTAACATGTTCCATGAAGATTATTGTACTTGATGTACCCACAGCATGCTGCACTCATTTGCGAGTCCCCATCTTCATTTTAAGATGCCGCTGGATCGCCCCATTTTACTTATCGAAAAAGCGTATCCCCAGTCAACGCCACTGAATTCCAGTTTTCATGAAGTAGACAACATTGTAATAATCAAGAAATTAAAACGGTGGTTTTATTTAAAATTCCGGCTCAAGAAATGAGCTTAGTCCATTTTGCTTTGTTTAATTTTTCTGCGTTTTGATTAGGTCTGACTTTTTTCTAACTAGCTCTGAAACATATGCCTTTATACACCATACACATTTTTGGACTAAATTGTAACACGTTTTATGTACAATACATCAAATTAAAAAAAATTGCTTCAGGAAAAATTCTCCAAAAATCATGCAAATTGCCTAATTATACAACGTACTCTGCTTCAATACGCATAAAATAAAATGTGTTCTGTAATCAAACACCAACAGAACTTAAATTACCACTTCAGATTATTTTTACCAGTCAAAGAAGCTGGAGATAAATGCTTTGCATTCGCATCGTCCTCGTTTACTCAAGAAATCAAAATGCTAGCAGGCATGATGAAAAGCTTGTCATCCCACAGATTTTTACTCACTGTTATGACTAAGTCACAGTCAATAATGGGGAGGAATAATCCTGAAGTTGTGAATGGAAACAAGTTTCGAAAATAAAACAGGATTTTATCTCTACATTTCGCAGTAGATATTGAATCAGCACCTTTTCACCACTTCTATGACTGAAATCTGCAGCTCGGGAAGATCAGAAGTTTTAGTCGAAAGGTACTCCATGACAGCTGCATATCCAGTGCAGTGAAAACAAAATTAACAACTCTTCAGGAAATGACAGAAGTAAAAAGAAGGATTCAAGGCTCCTTCTTTCAAATCTTTACAAGGACGTGGCCCAGAGAGGTTCTCAATAACAAACGGAGATGCGAGATTTTTTTTCTTCTAAAATTCAGAAAACTAGCCAAAAGACCCTCTGACAAAGAACGAAAGTGTAGCGGAGTAAGTGAGAGACAAATGCTTTCATTCTACTTCAATGATTGCAAGAAGAGACGACCTGTAGTTGCCTTCTCAAAGGTAAAAATCTTCGTAATCGCGACAATGAGTTCGATCAATCCAGAAAAAAATTCATGAACTCCTGTTCTGTAGACAATAAACAAGACCAATAAGAGGAACTATGATTTGGTTATGAGCGTCGTCCAGGGGATCAGAACATTTTACTGGAAACCTCAATGACTTCATCAAATCAACCTCAGAAATTCCCCACCCAACTTGGTGAGGGTAAAATAAATTTTGAAAGAATTCTCCAAAACACAATTCTGAAAATTGGCAAAGTTGGCATCGCGGACAATATGCGTATAAATATGAAATCACCATTTTTGGTACCTTGGTGGAGGGCACAACATCACCTTATGGGCGCATGACTCTACAAAGGCAATACAGGTAGAATCTCTCTTCAAAAAAATTCAAGATCCAGAGACAAAGTTCTTGCAGAGAGATTTATAATGCAGAGAACCTCCAACAATAAGATCTATAGCACAGGAAGATAACCTTACAGGACACCACAAAAAATTGTTATACAGTACAGAGAAAATCATTGTAGACAAGATTGTTGTAACCTTGTAGAGGGAGTCCATCAGTATGTAGAAAAAAAGAACACCCGAATTTAAATTTAGACAGGAATTAATCCTGAATTTAGTTGATTTTCAATTGTTTCCATTAAAATAAGTTTCTCGGTTGAAATTAGTCTAAAATGTATATAATCCATAGCAATACACAGCTAAACTTCTGAAACTTCGTGAAAAATTTTACCCGCCTATCACAGACATCATATTTTCGTACCTCGATTGAATACGGTAATTCGGGTGAGAAGCTCATAAACTAGAGTTTGAGTTGTCAGCATCATCCATGGGTACCATGATTCTTTTCCAAACGACAGGTGAATGCAAAGGCAATCACACAGTTTTGCAGTATTCAAAACACAATCTTATGAACTTCATTCAAGGTGATTACTTCATCCGGAACTATTTAGATATTCTTTGGCCGCATAACTGTTATGAAATTCGACATGAACATACAGTATTTTTACGCAGGTCAAGTATCTCACAACCCTGTAAATCGCTATCTAAGAATTACTCCACTTTGGATAATAAAGTTAACAGAGCATTTTCATATGGCTGCTGCATATCTTCGCAGCAAAGGCAAAACATGCGACTGTAAGAACCAAATCACGAAGTAAGTAAACCACAACAGGGAGACATCCTTTCGGAATCATAGTATTCCTGTGCCTTGAACAAAAAAAGCACTGGACAATTCAACACAGGAAGATAACACTTTCGGGCCTCAGATTTCGGGCTCCGCATCATCAACAGGTGCGTCGCCTGCGGCATTTTCCTCATCGTCGCTGTCGGCATCATCATCGCCGGCGATTTCCATATTTTCCCTCTCCGCCTTCTCCATCTGCTTCGCCAGATCCGCGTCGTCGATATCTGTCACTACCTTTGGCTGGAAAAGAAAAGGGCATGATACGGCTAAAATATCTCAGAACGCTTTCAACAAACTTCAAGAAACTTACTGGTAACTGGAGAGTGAAATTCCCGCCTCTCTCCTTGATCGCTTTAGAAATCTCTTCTATGGCTTTAGTCAAGACATCAATCCCGTTCTGCCGATCTGGAGTCGATGTGGTCATCACTGTGAAGTATTCGTAGGATCAGAATTTCAAATGAGAGAATTCTCAGTTCAATATCTGATAAATACATTGAATAACACAAAAAATAAGACATTTAAAGTTGAATAAAAGCTCGTTGAATGTTGTTCGGGTATTTTGGGAAGCGCAGAGTAATGACAGAGCAGCGGCATTACAGTTAAAAAGGATTCAGCTTCGTCAAAATAGGTGAATCAAAGATGTTCAGTGCAGCCTTATGGTTGTATTAAGTACAGTAGAGCTGCCATATTGATGGTAGAGTGACACTGATGACTCTTTAAGACTGTCTCGAATAGTTCTGTAAATTTCTGCGAATTGATCGAAGACAATTATTGAACAGGAAATTATGCAATGTCCAACATTGACGACAAGGTTGACGGAGTGAGAGAAGGAACTTCATAAAAAAATATCGACGGTTGCCAAAATAATAAGAGGATTAATACGTGCGCTACTTCGTTTCGAACCTGAAGCATTTGAAAATAATGTCACGACTATCCATTTATGGCTACATATCGAAAATCCCAACAGAGGTTCACGACCTGGAGACACTGAACGCATTGAAACTTTCCGCGCCCTTCACAAGCTGTAAAACTACTTGTAATTTAGCTACTGTTCGGAACTTTTCATGGTTGAAAAAACATTACGAGGAGAAAAATTAACCAACAACTATACCAAAAAGCGGAGCAGCGATCAGCTGAATTTTGATGGAGATGTCTTTCGTGGAACATGCTAAACCAGCCCTCAGGGCTTCCTTGATCGCGTCTATTCCGCCATAAGAGAAGCAAGTAACTTCAATATCAGACCGAATCTTCACAGCCTGCGATGTCAACTTTTGTTGGATGTTCTCCAGCAAAATCTTCTTGATTTCTTCGTTCAACCCACACTCGTCCAATAAATTTGGTGTCCTGCAAATTTAAAATGTACGATGAAACTCAATGGACCAAAAACAATATCTACAATGCGTAGATCATTAACTTTGATTAAGCCTTTCAATACGTGCTACTGTTGAAACAATCCAGGAAAAAGTTGTTCACTCCATGAAGGATGGAGTGACCGGGGGCTAGGGCAACCCAGCCTTCTCCAGCATGCTCCAAAACGTTCCAGGTACGTTTTTGTCAGACTAAACGACTTCAAATTACTGTGGTAGGTACGTCGGGATTAAGTTAGTTTTAATAACTATGGACTTCTAAATTTTTAAAAGGAATTCTTTTAATGTACGTGTAAAAGTCGGTTCGAATACCGCACAAAAGAGAGAAATGTACATTTGAGAAGAGAGTTGCCATCTTTGCGCGTACTTGATCTCGACACTCCATTTTTCATAAAAGAAACTAACTAATCCAACCTTGAACCAGATATACTTGACCTTGATAGTCTGACTAGACAGTTGATCCGCACTGGAATTTGTACAATGTCCATGATTGGACGTCGAAGCTAACTATATTAGATATAACAAGCAATATAACTTACACGACACAAGATTTGAAGAAGTCATAGGATGAACCCTGTTTGTTGGTTTTATTTTCGTAGCGCCAAGCCGTCCTCTGATACAGATCTTCCAGCTGCGCTTCAGCGTCAAACTTCATCACTTCGGCAACGTGACGTAGGATGGAATTCACTGCTTTCGCATTTGAATATTTTGCTGTACACTTCTCGACGTCCTCCGCAGAAACACGACGCTTCGACAGATCAATGTACCCTAAAATGATAAATTGGCCAATGAGCTCGAGAGGCTCCACTGATTCGACAAAAAAATACCCGGAGAATAGCGAGCCTTTCATCAATTATGAAAATCACCGAAAATGATTCAAGATTTTCGTTGAAAATAATTCCGGAATGAGGAAAAAATTAATAAAACCGACCTTCATATTCCGCCGCGAAGGAAATTTCAGGTTAGGACTTCGTTCGAAAACATACTAACCTTTATCTTTGTCGACACGAACGACGACTACCGGTTCAGTTTTGCCCACTTTGATCAGTTTGTTAATGGACCGGATTCGACGGCGAGAAAGTTCGGAAAGAAGAATCATTCCTTCAATATTGTTGTATTCCAGGAGATGGACATACGCTCCCATGTCCGCGATTTCACGGACTTTTACCATGACAACATCTTCCACCTCAGGGTAGCGTTGAGAATAGAATCTACATGTGAACACCATTCTCAAGAATTTCACACGGTATCTCAAGCACCGAGTCTGGTTTCCAAAAATGCAAAGAAGGAAATCATGTGTACATCAATGAACATACAAAAATTGCACATCTTCGCAATTTTATGAAAATATTCACAAAATGAATCGACGGTGGTGGCTTTCAAAAATAAATCGGTCACGCTCTGCTCCATTGGTTACGCATTTGAATGAAAATGACAAACGATCGCACATGATACTCGTAGTTAAGCATGAACGCAGGCAAAAGTAAGGAAATGACGATACAGGACGTCTTCAACGAAGATACATAATAAATTCCTCGTTCCACGATTTTTCACCGCACAGGATGAATTCTACACATTGAGAGATGATATAAATAATTATTGTCCTGAACAACGAAATAGGCCTACTTTCTGGACACATTCACGATTTTCCACACATCACCGAAAAGACACATCGACTGCCTAAAAATCAGAGTGACGCCTCTCATTCGCATCGCCTTTCAGTTAGCTCCCAATTCCGGTTGGCTATGTTGAACATTGGAAAGAGCTTCGTGAGAAATAGTTGTGTTCTGGCGAGGTGTCATCAGAGCAGGCGGACGTTATTCAACGGGCGCCCCCTACACATCCCGCCCGCACTGATCCCCACACCAGGCATTGCCTATGGCACATGCATGCAGCTTTCTGCAGCAACTGTTCTAATTTTCAGGAACTGTTACAAGAGTGATGCAAAATTCATATATTTGTATTCAATAAAAGAACTAATTGAAATAACAATGCATTGTGCAATTATTTGTGATTTTTTGTGCTGGGAAATATGGAGCAAGTATAACAAAAATTGCCCTTACATTACAAAAGCAGTACCTAGGGAAATAAAATAAAGGCATGCAAGCAGGTCGCCATAGCGAGCTATCAACACAGAAGCAATGTAATGTTTGAAAGAGCCCATCTATATTCAGTAGATGATTCAATCAGGTTATTTGATGAAGTGATAGGAAATTTCTCTATGAATTTGGATTGGAATAACTTCCTTAGTGTTTCTTAAATAACATTAGATAAAAGAAAGATAAGAAATGACATGATGGAACGATTTCCGTCAGATGAGACTAAATCGGGCACACTCGATATTTTTGAAATCTGTGATGGCCCCTTACATTTCACATCTGCAAATCATCCTGAAAAACACGAAGGTTCAGTATCGCTGTCTCCGATCGCTCACGGAGCAAGGCGAAGGAGTGTGTGACGAGTTACCTGTGGTGTGGGCGAGCTGTGGCAGAATTTGGTTGAATTGTTGCGATATCGCCGGTTTGGGCTTTCGTGGAATTAAATTGTCTCGTGAGCATGACAACGATCGTGGTGGGGTAAAACGTCGAGTGATAACGTCAGTAGTCCTCTTACGCGGTTAGGGTCCGGACATCTGATTTTGATGATTCGGATTATTGTTGAAAATTTCTACATGGAGATGAGGTTCCTCTGTGCTCCACAGTGCATTTCACGCAAGATTTCCAAGTGATCGACAGTTGGGAAAAAATATTTAACTAGAAAATGCCGCGCGGATCACGTCGTTCTGCTCCTGCTCCGGCCCCAAGGTAATTCTTGCGTATGAATCTTGCCATCGAGTGTCATTCTCATCACATTCTGGGATTTCAGGGCTGCTCATCCGCCCGCGCGAGTGCATCAGCCACCTCCGCCGATGCAAATGCAACCTCAACCTCAGCAACCGTCTCTGTTCAAGCAAATGGCGGCTACTGCTGGTGGTGTTGCCGTAGGATCTGCCGTCGTAAGTTTTCCGTCTTACCTAATCGAGACGATTTTTGCTGCTCTTCATGGGTTTCACTATCGAATTTTCGTGCAATTTTAAAGCCGAGATGCTTGCATTCCAAATGCTCTGGACGTATTTTTTTTAATTTTCGATGTAATACAGTATCTGACGATCCATGCAAACTTTCGATTCTACATGTGGCCTTTGAAGAGCTTCAGCATCACTGTATTTATTTCAATATTAAAATTGTAGATCTCCTGATGGTTTTCCCTGACGGTGTGGGGATGACCTAGTGAAGCCTAGAATTTGTCCGGATGGTTTCCTCGCAAGCTCTTCGTTGGTTCAGCATTCGTCGTGGTTTTCGGAGATTTTATCCCATTAGGGTCTTGAGTCATGTTCTGAGTGTATTCCTTGGTCTTGAGCGAAATCAAGTTTGAATTCCGATGATTTGGAGAAGGGACATTATTAGATGTCCGTTGATTGGACTTAATTCCGGTTCGTGTGAATAATTAGATGTTGCTGTGATAGTAGGATGCACTAACCATTTCAACCAGTGTGTTGAAGTGTTCGGCTGACCAAAATCTGTTTTGAATGTTCTGGGTACAGGGTCATGTGGTTGGACATGCAATGACTGGTGGACTGTCGGGTGGAGCTCAGCAAGTTGCTGCTGCCCCGGCAGCAGCTCCAGTTAACTCATATGTTCAGCCAGACCAGATGCAAGGCCCATGTTCTTTCGAGATCCGGAACTTCTTGGAATGCGCGCAGAATCAGACAGATTTGACGTTGTGTGACGGTTTCAATGAAGTGCTGAAGCAGTGCAAGATGTCGAACAGTGAGTGCATTTGAATCGATTGTTGAAGTTTGGTTCGAAAGAGAACGTCTGAGTGAAAATCTTAGATAATGTATTATAATTTTTGAATGCTGGCTTCGAATCTTCTTGATCTTGGAAATTGCCCGCCCGAACACCTTCATGTCTTCCATTTTCTCGCAAATTGAAAGCTGAAATCGTCTTCCGGAAGCTTGGGCACATGAGTAATGTTGAGGGTTTCATTGCGGTTTGAGCGAGTGTAGTGGTGTTCATAACGTATCCAACAGAAAGATTTTTCAACGCTTATTACATTTTACAAATTTTGTTTTCTGTTGCTAACGTGACGTTCCTTGATGTCAGCGTTGTTTGTTTTTGTTTTAAGAAAGTCAACCTTCCGCTGCATATGTTTGAATTTTGAGCACCCCATTAATGTTGATCGTATCTGAACTTTTAAAGACCTGTGATATTGATGATCAAATGGTCAATTTCTTTGTCTTTTTCAGATTTGATGATGTAAGCCCGTGATACTGGTTCCGCACCGATGATTAGTCGACCCGCGACGCGGACTAGCTTCAACTTCATTCTGAGGAATGTGTAGCATATGGTGCAATAAAGTCCGCATGTCCTCATTCGAGACGGAGTTCAATTTTTAGTATTGTATCTGCTAAATGGTTGAGTCTTTTCTGTCGTTCCATAAAGTCCTTCCGAGGTGATTCTCTGTGGAGCAATTCAGAAAGGACCACCCATGAGTGCAGATAGTGGAAATTGAAGACTGAAGTTCGTTTTTTTTCTTCGGTTTCAGAAAATGTGTGTGTGGTCTATTGTGGGAACAAGGCGTTGGAAGTTATTTCCGCCAGCAGCGAAGAGCTCATTTTCTCCAGCTGTTTCTTGGAAAAATTCGTATCGGTATTCGTGAAGAAAAGCTACGTTTTGTTTTTCTCTGTAGTGACAAGACTTCGGGCTGTAAGTGCTGTTGTTTTCTGTTAAATTTAATGAGTATCAAATAACCCGTGTCGAAGTCAGCAACAGAAAAATATGAATTTTTGCCGTAGGTTTGAGCCCGATCCTTGAATTTCCGTCGTTTTAAGTGGTCGCATTTCGTTGAAGTTCATCGCGCTGCTTTTGATGGTGGCTGTATTTGCTTGTTTTTAGTGTCCTTTTTGAGTTCATGGTTCGTAAAAGGCTTGTTTCTCCATTCAGAAACGCTCGGTAACTCCGCTTGCCTTCTTGTGTATTCAAATGAAGTTCTGTGAATTGTGCGTGTACAGGGTGTTGAAAAAGTTGACAATGCGGGGAGAATTTTGTAATGAAATCTAAATTCCTCGTTCTGCATTCCTCTCAAGAAGCATTATAATGTTCAAATTCTTCCTAACATCTTGCTCACAATGTGTGCTTTGTGTGTCCCGCGTGCTCACTTCGTGTAGAAAGGTATTGCTGTCTTATGAAGGTTATGAAAATCCTACCCTCATATTCTGTCGCAGAATCAAAAATACCGAACTACTGATGCATTGATTGCTTCAATAAGTTGCATTATATACTTGATGCAACTTCAGTATCACGAGTTTCTTTTTTGATTTTTCTTCGCACACTAAAACACTTCAAATTTAGTTGAAAGTGGCACCGGGAATAATGAAAAACGTCCAAGAGGAACGGCGGAAAGAATGCTTTAATTTGATGATGCTTAAGAAACCTAAAAGGAGTTTTCGTTAACGTTTCTACCGCATTTGCACCCTATTTCTTTCTGCCTTTTCCCGAACCTGGAATGTCGCTTCATGATTCTATGCGTCTGAGGATTTCTCCATAGCAAGGAAATACGTGGTCGACGGCCTCTAGCTGATGTCCGGGAAGTGATGTCCTGTAAAATGTGAGAACTCGGGGGGAATGGGCTTCCCAAACACCTAAAAACATTTCATTTGAGCGTACGTGAAGTCACATTGATGTTGTTCGTGAACAATAGCGAGGATATTTTTTGAATTCATGCAGGAAATCGCGTTTTTGCTAATTACGTGGGAGTAAACTTCATTTCGGGGTTTGCTGACTGACTTGAGGTGATCAGACGCGCTATTTTTTGTTTGTGGGCTAGGTAGGAAATTGGTGGATAGTGAAATTACTAAGGATGAGAAATGGCTGGCAAACATAATGAGGAAGCGCGTTTCGGCTACGGACGGACCAACTACTTCGAGTCGGGCCCGAAAGAGCTGCCCAGAGAACCCCCTTACACAGCTTTCATCGGAAACTTGCCCCTGGCGGTAGTTCAGGGTGATATAGAGCGAATCTTCCGAACTCAGAAGATTCGCAGCATACGGCTGGTCCACGACAAGGAGACCGACAAATTCAAGGGCTTCTGCTATGTGGAGTTCGAAGACTTGGAGAGTCTGACCGACGCTTTGACTTACGATGGCGCTTTTTTCGGAGCCAACCGGTTGAAGGTCGACGTTGCTGCAGCTCGCCGTGGTGATCGTGCTGGCGGTGGTGGCTTTCGTGGCGGTCGTGGCGGTGGCGCCGATGGAGCAAGAGGTACGTTTTATGCGTTCTTTTCGAGAGTCACAGTCTGCCGAACGCTGTTCGCCTGGTTCCAGGCCAGGTTGAGGAAATCTTCCTTCAGATTTTTACTCTTCCTTCAATTCTTCAGAAAATTTTTAGACACATTCGTGCAGTACTGCAAAAGCTGTGGTTCCATTTTCCAGACGCCCATTAGACTCTTACTTGACAAGAAATCGTGAAAAATGATTTCTCTGACTCGAGGATGGAGACAGTAATGACATTTTTGCTCGGGTTTCTGTTTCCTTTTTTCGTTGTGTTCGGGTGACTGCAATGGGTTCACGCGGGGAAAATGAACCAAAGCGGTAATCCAGGTTCATCAGATCAATGGAAGATTCTGATTTTTCTCGAATATATGCTATGCACGGGAAGCTGAAAATTCTCGCGTTTCTTGTTGTGGCTGTGGCCTGAAATATTTTAATCGTTCAAGTACTTCACCTTTCCAATGGTTGAGCGTTCACACATTGAAACTGTAAAGATGCAGATGATTTGAAGATCACTTTCCAGTGATCACATCGTTCGAGAAGGGACTTACTTATGAAGTAATCGTCTGCTACTAGTGAAAAATAAGTTCGACATTTTGAAATGGCTTGTTCACGATCGTTAGCGTGGGTGATGATTTTAACAGAAGTGTTCATTTCTAAGAAATTGGCCTCGCCTTCGCTGTTTTCAACGGTGTTCTTCACGATATTGATTGAAACCTTCAAGTCGTGTTGGTTCAAGTCGGAAAACTATGTGAAATGCTAAAGAGGGGTCTCTTGAAGAATTTCCAAATCTTTATATGAACGATTTAATTCATATTCTTAATTCTACGGTACAGGTTCATTTAATTTGACGCGATTGCTGGCGCTGGTATTCATATTTTTTTTTCTTTGCTGAACTTTGCCTGAAGGTATGGAATTTATTCCAGGCGGCGGAGGCGGTGGTGGAGGAGGCAATTTCCGTGGAGGCGGTGGTGCAGGTCGTGGAAGAGGCGGTGGTGGCGGTGCGGACGACTTTGGTCGCGGACGTGGAGGCGGCGGCGGAGGTGGAGGAGGCGGAGGATTCAGTGGGTTTCCTCCTGGCGGCGGCGGCGGCGGAGACCGTTTCGGTCAGTCGGGCCGGGGACGATTCGAAGACCGCGGAGGACGATTTGGTGACATACAGGGTGGACGCCGGGGTGGCGGACCATCAGGTGGCGACTTCATGCAAAAGCGACGCCCTGCAGCTCCTGTGGAGGAACCACCAGAGGTTTCCAGCGGTGGTCCTCCTGCTGCCCTTGGTAAGCTTACGAAGATTAAATTTATGAATTGTACTGCAGTTTTATTTTTATATTTTGCGGGTGAGTTCTAACCTGGAACCAATTTTTGCTATCCTTCGTCAGCTTTCCTTCCTGTACGTAACAGTACAGTACGATTATTTTGGGACGTCAGAGGAAACACAATTTTCTAGCTATTCTTCTGCACAGATCTTCCTCTAGGCTTGAAATGGCATTTGAATGGGTGGATTTTACTGGTTCTGACTTTTGAAACTACAATTCAACCCGACAGATAACTAGATCGCGGAACAAATGTGGACTTTTTTGTTCCCTGCGACATTTTGAATGAAATGCAGGTACAGTATTGCAGTGCATTCCTACAGAAACTGAGGTTTCTGTTGAATGACGTTACTGTAGTTTCCTGTTGAATGCCGTTGATGTTAGATGTATTCATTGTTTTGCAAATCCACTCGCTTCTTCTAATATTCTGTAATTCGTTGGTTTTATAGAACTTCAAAATTTACCCTGAACTCGGTCCTTCGGTACAAGTTTTGCGAAAAACCCTCTTTTCATATGGCCACTGTGCAAGATTCCTCCTCGTGATGAGGAAGGAAATTTTAAAAAATAAATTACATTCCATGCTGCCTTCACACAAAACCTTGATACAGTATTAGGTGAGGCCCTTAGGAACCTATCAGGATTGTCTTGAAAGATAAAAGTTTGCGCTCTGCTTAGCAGTTCATCTAAAGCGGATAAACGTAGCAGATTTTACCATCGTCTGAGGAAGTGCTTTTTAGTATTTTTAAAGAAGGCACCTTATTTATTAGACGACCACTTACCACCAGTGGCTCGGACAGTAAGTACAGTACTGTAAATTGTCGAAAAGTAAAAGGGCCGGACATTTTCTGGAGCTACCCTGTAGGCCGTAAGCGGTTGTCATTCCGAGGATTAGTAATTCGTATTCTGAGAACCCTGAAGAGCACGAAACTAACGCATTTCGTGTCAAGTAATGGTATTCCCAAGCTCTTCAACCCATTTTATGCATAACGCGGGGAGCACTGTTTTCGGCCATGTGGTTTACCAAGGAGGTGTCGTGTAAAAACTGTTAGTTGTTGCGGTGACCGCCCAAAAATTATTGAAAAGGAAACCTACCTTCGCCATTTTTCCAAATTCTTGGACGGAAGATCGTTCATTTATGAGAAGCATGTATTCAGGAGATAGGAGACTGTTCATCCGTGAAATTCACCGATTTCTGCATGAATCTTGAACAGAAAGAACAGTATTATTCTTTTTAAGACAATAATCCTCTGCTTTCGTGTCGTTTTACTTCATTGAATTTAAATTCCGTCGACGAAATACGAACAGCCAGTTGTTGGATTTGATCACAGTTGTTCTTCACATTTGCCGCGAGTGTCATTATTCATTAAGTACCTGAATTAAGGAAGAATTTCGTTCCACTTCGAATAGTAGATAAACTACATGTAATGTAGCTGTATCTGAATGGAATTCTTTTTTTTTGCAGATGAGTCGCGGCCGAAGCTGAAGCTGTTGCCACGTTCTGTGAAGGACCCTGTGAACCAGCTGGCGGATACAACTCAACGGAGCACCTTATTCGGTGGGGCCAAGCCAAGGGATGAGAAAATTTGGGAGGACAGGCGTAAGAAAGATTCGGAATCGTCGGATAAAGGTGGAGGTACGGCTTAGTCCCAGCCACTAACTCCCCCCCCCCCTTTCTTTCCCCCCAGCATTTATTTTAATCCGGGTCCTTCTATTTAGATGCAACGTTTCAGGTTGAATCTTCTGTTCTCGCTCGACGTTCTCGACTCAATGATTTTCTGCCTTAAGTTTTGTTCGGCTCAAGTTTTATCCTGCTCAGTTACTTCAGTACGGGCTAAATTCGATTTTTCAGGATTAGTGGCGTAATTTTTTCTCAGATTGTAGATCAGGGCGACTCATGACTGTCCTTTCTATGAGCGAACCCGGCGTTGAAGTTACGGGAACCGAATTTTCATAATGAATGCGTAATGAATGATTTGCATTCATCTTCCTATACGATCTTTCTTCCGTCTAAGCGAATGAGTCCAACTGAGCATGTGTTTGACTTGGGAGAACGTTTTGCTCTGATTGAAATCACGGAATTGCACAATGTGATGGCTGTAGAGTTGCTGGATAGGTACTTTTTTCACGTTTTAGATTTTAAACGGAGTACCGCAGGTTCACTGCCATAGCTTGCTCAGGTCTGAGTGGAAATGAAGTGTTTGGTAGCAGCTCTTCCAAACAGAACGCTCAGTTTTTCAGAATTTTGGGCGAAGGTGTTTGCTGAAACATTGGATCATATGATGATTTTCAATCGTTGCTTTGCTTGAAGCCTCAATTACCTGCGTGAAAGCATGTTGCTGGGAGAGAAAGAAGACCTTGACTTAGTTTCATAGTGATCCCATGATGGAATTATTTTCTATTTTTTGCAGAGTGAGGAAGATTGCGACGAAACGGGGAGTTGTATAGGTCAACGGATGGACTTATTTTCTGCATCGGTGGTGTAAAAAAGGAGGAAAAGTCGACCTGTCTTCGGTTGTCTATCGGACGTGGTATTTATTTGCGAGAAAACGACGTCTCTGCGAAAATTTATGGGAATTGCGACCGAGTCTCAGGTTTTACTGTCCTTCGCTGGGCAGTCTGCTTTTTTTTTTTTCCTTGCCTGGGACGCTTGGAATCTCCCGGCTTTTCTGCTCCACCCTTCGTTATGCAGAACTTACTGTTTAAATGTTATTCGGGTACAAATTAGTTCTTGAGTTGGATTTGTTTCTCTCCGCTGAATCCGTTTGAACTCTTTTTCAATTGAAATATTTCCAAGGCGGTGTCCTGTGCTTTACTTCAAAAAGTTCAAAGCGTTTCGTTTGAAATTGCAAAGAGCTCAACTTGACTTGATTGTTGTCCATTTGGTTTGAGTATGCTTGGCCGGATATTGAAGTTTTGTAAGCTGTTATTTTGAGCTATTGAGTGGGTTGAAGTCGGAGATTTGTCAGATTTGTCAGAGTTCTGTTGTAATGAAATGGACGATAAGTGATTTGAGTTGGGCTGTTTGGGTTACTGGATCAGTGTGAAGCACTGATGGAGAGAGAAATTCAGAAGATTTTTGGCTGATCGCGTGTGGTGGGAGAGCTCAATCGGAAAAGCAAGGTGGGTGAGAAAGAGAAGCCGGGGTTCCCGATGCCAAAGGGGGGTTCAAAGGTGTGTTCTGTATTCGCCGGAGTCAGGTAGACAAAAGGAAGCCTTTGTTTTTTGTTTCTCTCAATGCATTTAACCGTTTTTTCCGGAGTGAGAACCACGGCTCGGACACACTTCGCAGATTGTGATAAAGGGCTCAGGGTTCCCGGGGGCCCAGCTTGTTGCTTCCGGTTCTCCAAAACCCTTCCCCTATCCATTTCCGGAGCTGTGTAGAGTGCAAGCAGGTGTTTTTGTTTCATGATTCTGTGGGAAGGCCAAGTTCCGCCAGCGCTTTTCCCGCTGCCGGGGATCTTCGAGGTGGGTCGAGCTGCGAGTCCGCGCCCGAAACCTGAGCACCCGCGCAAGTTTTGAGATGTGAATCTTTTTTTTTATGGGAATGTCTGGGTTACCAGCATGCTGCACCCTCTGTGTTCAAAGCGCTTGACTGTCCTTCCAGGTAGTTCAACTTAGACGAGAATGTCATTTTGCTTCCTGAACTGAATCGATGAACTGTTTGACGGGAGAGTTCGGTGAAACGGGGTGCAGTGGTGTGCCGCGCAGGATTTGAACCGTGCCCTCCGTATTGCGTACAGCGTAAACTTTCAAATGTTTTCGATTTGTTTATAATTTTAGAACTTTTTTGAAAGGCTTTGTTGAGCATTTGAGAAGTTTCGTTGTGTGCGGTAAGAGGAAGATTGTCCGGCAGCGAGGGTGAGCGAAATGGTGGAACAAGCTTTCCGTGCAAGCGCGGCTTTCCAGTGGAAGAGATTTTTTCATTTGCCTTGGCCCCCAGGTGTGTATGGCGGTTGTTTTTTTCGTGTTCGTTAAAAGGTTTTTGCAATTTTTTGAGCAAGATATTTTCCATGGCCGGTTTCACTGCGACGCGCTCGCATTCCTGCGTCCTGGGTCGACGCCCACCGTATGCTATCCGTGTACAAACCAGGATCCCCGAATCGCTCGCCGTGGTCTACTACTACTACTCCTGCTCCTCCCGCTTTGTTTTTTTGGGATGCTGATGATGAAAACAGCCTTGTTGGAAAATCTGGGTTCTTCTATTCGTCCGCTTGCACCCCCGGGAGACTTGATGGCGTTGTTGCTACATGGTGCTGACCCAAATCAGAGGGCGAGCGAATCTGACTTGGAAACGAGTCGGTTTTCTTATTCTGTTTCTCGACGAATTCGTGCCGTAACTGGGAAAGCTCTGGTCAGCCTCATGCTGCAATGATTCCATGACCAACGTGTCTAGGGTGGATTATGAGATGAGTCTCTCACGCCTGCTGTTTTTTTTTTTTTTTTTTTTCCATTACTGCCCCGTTTATAAAATGAGTCTTGATCAACGACAAAAAAGCAGCCCCAACCGATGTCATGAAAATGTACCGCTGTATATCTTGATTTTTCAAAAGTGCCCTATCCTGATTCAAGTATTGATTTCGAGTGAGAGAAATTGGATTTATTGTTTGTGTCGGATTTTGATGTACGAACGGTTCAGAATTTTAGGATCAATCCAGCTTCTTGACATATGTGCAGGTATTTGGCGAAGACTAAAATTCCCCACTTCGCTCAATAGAATAACCCAAAAACAAACTCTGCCTTTCTTAAAACAGCTTATCCGTAAATAAGACCGTGCTTATTTTTTAAGAAATGCAGTATAAGTAAAATATGTCGGAAAGAAAAACATGCTCAAATTTGAAAAAAATCTGTTCCTCCGTGGTAAAAATTTTAGTGGAGCACCCCTGACTATTGCGCACATTCGCATCTATTCTTGCGAACTTGCCCTGAGTTCCATGTTCCAGTGAATTTGTGGTTCAACATATTTTAGTGCGCTTTTTGTTCAGGCACATACAGTATTCAAAAGGAGGAGATTGCTAATTTATGGCCCTCGAACTGTAGACGAAGAAAAGGGAAGTTGATCGAGTAATGCTATTGGAAAGTTCCGTTGAGTTTTCTGCCACGGAAGAAGAGCGGTGTTATGGGGATGTTTTCTTAGTGTATACCAAATCAGAACTAGTTGTACACGAAAATATTACTTCCAGATTACGATGAATCGAACCCTGCACTTCTGTTGAATGTGACGTTTTTGACGTTCTCAATTCCTTCACAAGCTATCAATAAAAAATTGATTTCACACTCGAAATAATGCGAAATTACGTACGCTTTAGTGACGTTGACTCGGGCTTATCGTTTTACGGATGTCAGGTTACCTTGTCTCATTCCAGAGTAGGACATACCTCTAAATTCTGGTTCACAACTGTAGTCCGGCAATTTCATGCTAAACAAACTTGCGTATGAATCGCACCGAATCATTTGAAGAACATTCTGAAGTTATAGCCCTAAGCACTGTTTTCGTTTTTAAGAAGTTATATGTTTCGAAATGCGCGACACGCATAGGAAAGGCGTTACAAATTATCTCGTGTCCACCTGGTTCGTCTCCGGGGTTGGAAGCCAGGCATTACTTTGGAGCCTTCGCAGAATTAAAGAGCGTTTTGTTGGAATTTTTTAAAACCAGGGATTTCTAAATAAGAATGTCTCGTCGAGACAGTGATGAGGAAGCAACGTCTTATGACGAGTCCGACGGTGCGGAAGCCAGTGACGACGAACTTCTTTTCGATGATGATGAAGATAGGCGTCGCTACGAGGCTGAGTCTTACGATGTCGAAGACGAAGATATGTTCGCCGAACCTGAAACGATTCCACTGGACTACGAAGATGAAGATGTTCCTGAACCCTTCTCGGAAGAACCTGACGACGAAGACGCAGAAGCGCTTCCTTCAGACGACGAAGAACTCCAAGAAGCTTCTTCTTATTCGTCCGAAGACCGGTCGAGCATCTCGGAAACCCCGCAGTCTCCGGATTACTTCAGTGAAGCAGAACCTGAAGAGCAGAGCGACGAGGATCAAGATGATGATGATGATGATGACGACGAGGAAGAAGAAGAAGAAGACGAGGAAGAAGAAATCGAAGAAGATAATGAAGAGGCTGAAGAAGAAGACGAACGCGAATCATCGTCGGAAGCGGAAGACGATGAGTCTTCATCCAGTGAAGACGAGCCTGTTGAAGAACCCGTGATCCAAGAGATGGACAACAGTGATGAAGGTTCCGTCTATGGTGACCTGATGTTTTCGGATGACGATGAAGAAAAACTCGATGCCGTGAGCAAGTGAGTTCTTCATTCATTTTTTGTAAAGCTTTCTTGTTTATTGTCTTCGTGGTTTCAAAAGTCATTCTGATGCAGTTGAACCTCGATAACTCGAACCTCCTTGAGTCGAACACTTCCCTGAGACGAATTTTTTCAAGTTCCTATCCAAATTCCCTTCGAAACCATGCCTTAAAACCCTCCCAAACTCAAAGGCTTTTCCTCTCAAACCTCCATAACTCGAATTTTCTGGAAGCCTTTTGGCTATTACTTTATTGAAACAGGAAAGAGAAAAGCAATAAAATTTAGCATGGTGGATTATGAAGAAGTCTAATTGGGAAAATGAACTGTTGCCTCAGTAAAATTCAAACTCTAGAATCTCACGAAGGGTTTTTCCAGTTAACACCGCACGAAGTACCTTCTTACCTCAGACAATCTGAACCGCTTATAAGTTGGCTCGGTGATTCTCTCAAAGCCCGACTTCGTTGCTTTTCTTGGGTGTTTCCGGAATTTGATCGTTTTTCTTCAGGCCATATTTCGGTTATGATATAATCAGGCTGTGTCGTGTCCGTCCGGAACTTTGACTTGATTTGAGGTGCAGTGGTCGCGGGTGATGCACAAAGGCGGACCAGGCGACACCTGCCTGACCTTCCAGAAAGCGCGATTGTTCTTTGTAGTGAAAATTGATTTTCTCAGGCGAAATTTTTCCGATTCTATGTACGGTCAGCAGAGGCAACCTCCCATAAAAATACAGTACTAAGTTCTGTATCTTTTTCCCCCAGACTGTACATGCTGCAGCGAAGAATCATCCTTGAGGAGATGAAGACCATTGACAACGAAACTCATCCCGAGTATATTTCTGGCGCCAAGGAAATAGACGATTGGTTGAAGGAAGAGTAAGTACCCTCAGTTCCTGACTCCTAGGAAATGTTAAGCTAAGTTTTTCTTGATGAACAGGTTGCAGGACGTGGAGCGGATCATAAAAGGAATTGAAGAACGAAACACTGCGGAGTATGAGAGTGATGTGAAGATTAACGCCCAAGAACTCGAGGTAAATAACTGGGTCAATTTGGGTCATCTACCGTATCTTGATTGTGACCTGATCGGTAGGCGAGACGAGTGCAAGTGCAGGACCAGCTTATCCGGGAATTGGAGGATAAGAGGAAACATACCGAACAGGAGCGAAATGCGATGGATCTGCACAACGATTCCTTCGAGGTATTTCATGTTTTACAAATCTCTTCTGTATTTCTCACTGTACGAGCTTCCTTGAATTTAAGATGCAAAGGTTGATTGAAAAGTCTTGCCAGTGCTTGAAATTTGTTGAGCGGTGCTTTTTTAGAATTGAGAGAATGAGAGCAGAAGATTCTCATCAGTGAAGTACACTTCTGTTGTGTTCAAAATATTCAAATTTCTCACCGTTGACTGAATTTCGATTTGTTCCCACTATCTTACGAACTCATCTATCAGAACAATACTATGGTCCTAAGTTTGGATGCTCCAGCTTCTGAATCAGAATCCCCCGAACGAATACGAGGTTATTTTCAGGACTAGCAGCAAGTCTTCTTTTCACTTATCAAGACTCTGTTCGTAGACTACAACTGTAAGTTCTTGCTCACCTATTCGCATTTCAGGGAAACCCTTAAAATTTAGCGTCAGTAAATGGAAATTCCGAGAATTTTTTTTAGCGCATGGGGCTGAAATCCGGGGAATTATTGGGAAAGTTTTTAGTTCGTTTGTTTCTGCGTATGCCTTAAAAAAAGTAGAACAGTTGCATTTGGTTTACCTCACTCCGGCACATTGATAAGGCGTACTTCAAACCATCTGACTCGTACAGTACCTTGCAAATTTTATGGTCGAAAAATTGGGACAAAATTTGGGAAAACATTTGATGATTATTCGCAACACGATGATCTCCAAGTTGGGTGTTCGTTGAGGACAGTGTGTGCAAGTCTGGCAAAACTAGAAATACCGACGCTGACGGATTAGAAAAATCACTTTAGGAATGGATCAGGGCGTTTAACTGGAAATCTGATGTAACGTTCCGCATTTTGCCGCTGAATTGCAGGCGTAAAAATTGCAAAAACTTTCGCGAAAGCCATTCGATTACAGTATCTCGGTGAGATAATTGGTCTGATCCATTTGTGTGATGCAAGAGAACGACAGACTGATGGTATTGTATGCGGTTGCGCGTTACTACGGACACGTGAGGAAGTTACGTTCGTGAAAGCGTTTGTTGTGATCTCGAAGCTGTTGGAGGCATTCCTGTTACCTTTTGTTGGTCTTGCGAAGGAATGAGCTCTTTTTCTTTCGCAGTTCAAGCCGATGGTGACCCGGAAGTTGAGGCGGCGAGCTCATGACCCAGCGGCGCCGCAAAGCAAGAAAGGTGGCAGTCGGGGACCCACCAGCCTCAAAATCCTGGTGGAAGAAGAAATTGCCCTCACGGACCTTTTCGAAATGGATCCAGAACTTGTCCAACCGTATCTACCGCTTCTTGGCCAATCCACTCGTCGCTCTAGTGAGTGCTGCTATTATTTTGCCGGTAAAATACTCATTTAATGATGATCTCTTCAATCAAATCCTGTTGCACCGACGCACGCATCATCAGTCGAGTGTTCTTTCTTTGAGTGTGGGAGAACGTACGTAATTTAACGCTCTTCTCGCACTTTTTGGGGACCATATGAAGTGCTTTCAATACTCAACACTGGGTTGACTTGCGAAGTTCTTCAGCTGAATCAATTTCCGAAGGGTCCTCATGCTTAACGTCATACGCCTCCGAGAAATTCCAATAACCTGTACTCGTGTCGTCGCGATTGCAGTGCAGTACTGTGTTCTGAATTTTCGGATGCAGCGAAAACTTTGCGTCCTCCGGGTCTCTAAATTTTATCCGAACCACCTCATTAGTTAGTTTGTTAGGGTCTTCAAATTTTCTCACTGGTTTATTGTGGTCTTCAAATTTACGAGGTCGAAAATACTCGAGTACTGTACTACGCGCACCTTTTTTTCTCAAATTTGAAAGGAAAAAGGGGTGCGTGTCATATGCGGGTTTCATTTTTCTCGACTAGTTCTATCGAGTTTAGTTGTGCAATATACTTTATTTGAATGGGAAATTTTGGACTAATTTTGACAGAAAAACTCATTTTAATTGAAACAATTGAAAATTATCGTATATTTGCTTTACAGTATTACCTTGCGCACCTTTTTTCCAGAAATTGCAACAGAAAAATAAGGTGCGTGGGTTACTCAGGGATACATTTTTAACGGAAAAATTCCCAAAACCCTAGACCCTCACGGGCATGTAAGTACCGCGAATCTAACCAAAAATAAAATGAGTAAAGCGAAAATGTGTTGGGCCAAGTCTCCTTCTCCATGGTAAATAATGGTTTAAGCAATAACAATTTAAGAAATCAGTTGGAGATGAAACAGGAAGTAAAGAAAGTGGAAGATGCTTGTATAGTTGAGGAAGCTTCAGACAGTGAAAAGCAGGAAAAATGAAATATCAATGTGGAAAATTATAGTAGATTAAAAATTAATCTAAAAAACCACGTTTTCAAAAAGCAAAAAATAACCTTAAATNATTGTCATCAGTTTCTAAGCTATCCTGAAAGTTTCAGCTTGCTAGCTAGTCTGGAAGTGAGTCAAATTTGAGTTTCAAAATTTGATCCGGACAAACAGACAGACAGACAAGAAAGTGAGTTCATAAAAACGTGGTGAAATGGATCCACACAAAAAATTCAGAAATCTTGATTCTCAACAACAAAAACTGGAGTGTGTGTCTTACACGGGGATAGGTTTTTTGACGAATTTCTTGCAGAAAAACGTGGGTGCATGGCTCACTTGAGGGCGCATGGTACTCGAGTAAATACAGTAGTCAAATTCATGTCAATATTCAAATTTGGGTGTTTCTTATTATTGAAATATTGTTGTTTTCGAGTCAGTAAAATTGGGGTGCAAATCTTACTAGGAGTTAACATTTCGCTAAAATTCCCAACCAAAAAGCCCTGGTGCGTGTCTTGCTTGAGGGCGCGGGGTACTCCAGTAAATACGGCAATCATGTATGGGAATGATGAGTTTCCATTTGCATCCCCTCTGGAAGCAGAAGAATTTAATCCTTCTTGAAGTTGTTCACGCTGCAGAGAATCTTGTTCATTATTCAAGAATTTCCTTCATCGAACGAAAAAACCTTCGTGTTTTGTAATTAATGAGAAATTCGCTTGCTTTTTCTTCAGACCGAGAGCGAGAAGCGCATTTTACCTACACTTACGATTCGCCCAGTCCCGTGAGCTTAGCGGATATGTCTCCAGAAGTTCGCGTTGAAGACGGAAAGCTTTATTTTGATAAGAAATGGTGAGTTGTAGATCTTTTGAATCTTGATGAATTTAATATGCATTATTGCCTTGGTAATCAACTTGCAGGTACAACCGGAACCAACCGATTTTCCTGGAAGGCAGGGACTATGGCAGAATAGCGGGTACACTATCGTCTGTTCAGGCTGATTCAGTGAGTTGTAATTTTCACCGTTCATGTCAGGTTTAAATGGCATGAATTGTGTTTATTTTTTTTTTTCGAAGATTTGGATCAAGAAAGTGACGGGCGGGGCGAGGATTCAGGTTTTCCTTGGGCAGCTATTTTGCGGGAGATGTTCCATTAGAAGACGCCCCCAGTGATCCTGGAACGTGTTTTCAGCAAGATGGTCTCATAACCTGGGCTGAACCGTTCGTGTCCCATTTTAAGAAGAAATTTTTTGAGCTTCGGATGCCCAAGAATTCTGCTGCTCTTCAATTTGCTCATGGTGAGAGTATTTTCGAGATAGTGGTCGGCTTGTTGGAATTTCTGTGTGTGTTTTTTTTTTTTCAACATTTTATTGTTGCTTTTGAACCATCGGTGATCTGGAAATTTAATTTACAAATTTTATATTACTTCTCAGTGTCCTTTTTCTTTTTTTCGGGGGTAAAACGTGACACTTCAGACGCTCATGTAGAAATTATGTGACATAGTTAAGATCGGAAAAGGGGCCTCCCGAGCTTGCATCGTCTTCCCTCAATCATGGCTTCTGGAACGTGTTCGTCTTTTGCATCGACTGACACTACTGATCGAAAAAACACGAAGCTGGGTCTGAGGAATCCCCAAAAGGAAGAGGTCCAGGGTTGGTTGCAGAATTATGCTTGCATCTGCAAGGGCTGAACTTTTATTCTCCCCCTGAAGATGAGTTGCGGTACATCGGTTATTCAATTTCTTTCACGATTCAAAAAATGTGCTCTGGAAAATCTTGGTTGACACTCGGTGTTACCGGGATCATCTGGGCCAATGTCCCTGAAAACCTCGGACTGCAAATGAGCGAAAATGAAAAAAAATGATCGTCAATTGCCGGATATTATTCTTAGCGAAATTTCTCAAAATCTTGGAAAGCGATACCGTTTCCAGGCGGCTTTCATGTCAATATGTTACTGTAGATTATGAAATGCAGTCTAATCTCGTAATGAAATTAGTCGTACTTTTTGGGACCAGCAAAAATCGCGCTAGGGAGGTTTCGAGTCGGGGAAACAAGCATTTGTCTTCGGGGGTAAAGAAAAGTTAAGAAAGAATTGTAATTGGTGAGTAAATACTTGAAGTCGGGCGTTGAGAGAATAACCGAGCTAACTGGTAAGCGGTTTGGATTGTCTGATGAAAGATGGTACATCGTGTGGTGTAAACTGAAGAACACTTCGTGCGATGAGTAAATACGATGAGGAAAATGTTGTTCTGCATTTGTTCATCTGAAGAAAAAACCCGCGCAATCAATTAAAACAATCGTTTTATACTAATTGTACTGTAATTAAAAAGGCATTCATTTTTCAGTCGAACCTATTCCGAGTCGAATTCCAAGGGAGCAGCGAAAAATTCAAGACAGGGAAACTTGCATTTTTATTGAGGCGAAAGAAAGAAGACTTACAGGAAATTGTAATTTTTGATATTCTGATTCTTATATTGCATCTTAAATGAGTTTACGGGATGCAGAACTTCGCATCAAGAGTTCATTCACCGAATTAGTCTTTCACTTCCGTTCAAAACACATCCAGATACATTTTTACTGCTTTTTTTCTTTTCTGTGTGAATAGAATGATAGCCAGAAGGCCTCCGGAATATCAGAGTTATAAAAATTTTGGGAGGAAAGCCTTTGAGCTACAGAGGTTTTCAATGCGCAGAGTTTTCAGGGAATACAGACAGGGACTTGAAAAAAATTCGACGTAGGATGTTTTTGATTTTTGGAGGCTTGATATACTCAGGTTAAACTGTGCAATACTCAAGTACTGTGTATCAAAATACTTCTCAAGATCCGAGTGAGTACTGTGCGTGGCTGAAAGGATGACTTTAAGTCCAACATCTTGAGCTCGATTGATCGAATTTACGATGAATTCAAGCAGAAATGACTGATCGGAGTATCCAGGTAATTTGACCGCGGGGATTTAATGTATCCGTATTTTGAGCTGAAAATCCTCATGTCCCTGCTTGAAAGACTACTTGGAAGACCCTACTCTTCTTCCAATGGCCTCATATACACTCGAATGACTAAACAGGTATCAAATTAGGTGGAACTCTCGTTGAAGTAGCCAGATACAGTCAAACTCCGATAAGCCACCACCCTTGGCAACCGCCAATTCATTTTGAAGAACGAATCTTCCCTAATTATACAAGCATTGGAAGCCCCGTTAAAACGCCAACCGCCATACGTCAAAATTATTCAGAACTGAAAGATGTTCCTGCTGATGAATTTTTCTTCGATAGCCCGCCGCTAAGATTTCAATTTCTGTAAGAAGTTTCTGCTCCAAAGGAAAACACAAACATAACATTTTTATTTTTTTTATGAACCACCAATCCCACAAACCGCCACAAGCAAATGCTGGTGGCTTAGCGAGGCTTGACTACGAAGATCCCATCGCAACTTCGAGTGACATCTAACGGAACCGAGACGCTTACCGTGTGTTCCGGAAGAAAAAATAAATTGTACATACTCCTATGGTGATTTCTCAGGAATCGTGATTGTATTTCAATGAATCATTAAACATCATCCTGTGTTGAATTTCTGTGGATTTTATATTCCCCTAGGTTTTCGCCGGTGCGCAGGGATGAAACCGAATTATTAAATTCCGGAAAAGCCGAAAAAGTGCACCTTATCTGAAGGCAGATGTTCGGGACTGATATTTATTAAAATTCTTGTATCAATTTAACTTCGTGGTTTGGGATCGAGAATTCATCTCGGAAAATTCGCGTGTTTTTCGGCGTAAGCTGCCGGATATATGCTTTGTGGTGGAAACCCAAGAGTTACCCGGGGATAGACCTCGTTTCTGTTTCCGAAATGGTTCTGCATTGTTCGAATTTATAAGATCGTACTGTTCAGTGCAGTGCTATAGAGGACTTCGCAGAAGTTCCTCTGAAAATGATTTGGAATTTTATTATTCGTTTCTTCGGCAGTACTGAACTTCGTGCGGCAGTTCTTGAATCAATTTTTGTGTGCGGGGTTTTTACCGTACTGTATTAATTTGTTTCCCTGAAAAACAAGTCGAATATTTTGTCCAATAATGACTCAGCATAACCCACTTCCGCGCTGGATGAAACCGGAGTAAGGTTTCTGTGTTGATCCGATGTACAATATTTGGGTTTAGCAGGTTGTTCGTAACCAGAACAAGGGTTTCATGGGATTTCTCGAGTAGTGAAATTCAAGTGGAAGCTGTGCCTCTCTTGCGAAGACTGCTGAAGAAATACTGTATCTCTTCACAAATGCTGCACTTCTGTCCATGCTGTTTTTCCAGAGTTGACGAAGTATAGTTGCAGTATGTTCATCAGAAGGGTTTTCAATTTTAGCCCAATTTAGTGAAGTCCGAATGGAATGGAGCTTGAGATTGACAGATCAGAAGTATTGGCGCAATTTTTCCTGCGATTGATATGCATTTAAATTGGGTGCAACATTTAATCGTTATCCGTGAAAATTTTGGCAAACATTTTTCATTGAAAAGTATTCTGATCAAAATTCGAATCCCCTGAAGCATGGGTTGGGTTTGATGTCATCCCAAGGATTTTTCCCCCAACATTATCAGCATTACATTTTGTTGAAATAATCCCCTATAATAAAGTTACTTGCGTTCGTAAGTGTGTGGGACCTCACCTCTCTTACTTTTTACTTAGGGCTATTTACGAAATCCGAACTCCCTCCCACAGAGCCCCCAGTGAGGCCTGCAGG